TAACACTAAAATTGGCTGAATTGGCTGATTCTGCTGAAATTTATGAAGTTCTGGCTGAAGTGACTGTATTGGTTGATTCTGCTGATTCATTAAAAAATTATACTTAAAATATTTGTTATTAATAAATTAAATAAGCTATTATCTGAAAAAATAGCTAAAATGATCCTCTACAGTAACTTCAGCCAATACAGCCAGAAAAGTAACTCCACCCTTACTTTTTCTGCTTATTAAAAAATTCAGCACGTGAAATCAAAAGTTACGTATTTGATGAAAAAGCTGGCTGATAAGTCTGATAAGCCGGAAAAAAAGGTCACCAAACGGGCTCTACATTACTAATTACTACGTAACCAAGCATCCTAGCCTAGCGGATTGTGAGGTTTGAGGTGCATATGTGAGGTCTTGTGTTCGAAACCCGCTATGCACCAAGGGAAGATGAGGGGAGCACACACACCGACATCTGGATCATAAAAAAATAGATAGTACTACGTATTAGAAATGTCTATGCAGTACCCGATTTGTTTAGTGTAGGGGTGGGAAAAACCGAACCGAAACCCGGAATTCGACCCTGGACCGACCCGAATTATGATCACGGTCCGGGGTTTTTTCTTTTTAACCGGCCTGATTTAAAAAAAAAAAACGGACCGAACCCGAAATTCCGGGCTCATTAACGGGCCTTAAAATCTATAACTCGGCCCGGACCTATAAAAACCCGAAACAATTAGCTTCAATATAAAATTAATATAATATATGAATATAAATTTATAAATATTTCCTAAGTTATGATTATAATCACAGTGGATAAAAAATGATTTAGTAACTTTTAGTGACTACAAATATGTTGAATTTGTGTAGCGTAATGACCATGAAAATATATTTATAGCAACTCTAGTCACATTTTTATCTATAAATTTTATTTCGTAATATATTTAAGAAACCTATATTATTTATATGCATCTTAAATAAAATATTAAGATAATTATCTTCTTTGGATTTGGAGACTAATATTTGTGTTATTATTTAGTTTGTTTTTTTGATTAATTTTATTTGAAAATAGATGTTAAAATACAAAAGAACAATGTGATATTTCACGTCCGGGCTTTAACCGGCTCAATCGGAACCCAGACCGAACCCAAGCTACCAAAAACCTGACTCGGGCCGAATATAATGGGCTTTATTCCGGTTCCTAATTTTCATAACCCGAGACCTTCCGGATAATTTCTTGGTTTAACAAAAACCCGACCCAGACCGGATCGATCTCACCCCTAGTTTAGTGATCTATGGCGGACCCATAAAATCAGAGTCTAATTAATATAAAATTAATAAAAACAGAAGTAAAATGTTAAAGTAGTGTGACATTTTATAATTAACGTACATCCCGAGGTTGAAATGACCATTTCTGAAGATAGCTATGGCGCACATCGTCTTACACATTAAAATGAAAATAAGCAATTTTTTTCTTAATCCATAATCAACTTCCAAATATTCAAAATCAACATGTTGGTCATACAGATTATCAGTCAAATTAATTTCAAATTCATCTATTAATTGATCCAAATTCTTCATTTAGTAATGACGAATCATTTGAATTAACATCAGAGCTATTCCCAGTACTCCAAATTTCTTTAAATCTAAGTAGACTATCGAAATATCTTTTCATCCTAAATCGTAAAATATTCAAAAAAACATTCATAAATATCATAAATTTTAGGATGGAACCGTTTGAAAAGTATCAAATCTTAATAACGGTTCTTATAAATTTTTTATAGAACCGATATGGAACCGAACCATTCTTAATGGTTCGGTTCTTGTCATTTTACGGTTCCTAGTTTAAAAAAATCTTACAAATCAACGTTAATTTTGCTCTAAAAAAACATTCAACGTTTGAAATGACAAGAAATACAAATACATTTATCATCATTTCAAACCTCAAAAGTTGATTTTAAAACATAAATAAATATGAAACTACAAATTTTAGTAAATGAAACAAAACAACGTATTCACTACAATCAATGATTATGATCTTAAATCAGCAACGTAAATAGTTAGCAAAAAAGTTCATTCATCTCAAATGGTCATGAGCAGAACACTCAATCCTGACCATCCGGGCCTACTAGCCTCTAAGGAACCCGTAAAAATAAATAACAATGTTAAATATATATTTAAATAACGAAACTAAAATAGTCAATGTAATATAAAAATAAATAAGTAAATATACATTAAAATATATAATAAATATAACAACAAATATATAAAATTTAAATTACTATATATAACGGTTCCTTAACGAATAGAAAAACATAGATTGATTCATAATTTAGTATGTTTTAATGGAAATGCTTTCAATCTCAAAAGGGACTTAGACAAATCAAATCAAATTAGATCAGACTTTGGTAGTTGTGAAATATACACAGAACAGATCGACATATACCAGATCAGATCAGTTCAAATAAAATTAGACTGAAACAACCTGAATAAGACAAGATAAGAAAATTACGGTCCAATTAAAAACATTTTAAGGTGAATAGAAACTGATGAATAGGACAACAATCCCTACCATCAAGGCACGGACTAGGGCGAGCTCACCGGGACTAGGCCAAAATCACTAATCGTGACCCAACATTTCACCAAGGGGCCCATTCTTCTTGGGCCAAGCTCCACCAGCGAGGGCAAACAAATTAGCTCCAATCTAAGTCTTAGGCGAGCTCACCGGGACTAGGCCGGGCGGACTAGATCCGCCTCGGGCAAGCTATAACTCTCACACTAAGTCATTTTTGGAGTATACAGTTACGACTTACGAGTACGAGAGCATATGTCACAAACGAACCTACTAACATCACCGGATCTAATTTAAGGAGCAACGTTGTGCTAACACTAGCCTAACACAATGTTGATGCCATCACCGGCAGGGACAGATTTGTGTATATACTTAGGGGGCCGTGGCCCCTCCCAACATTTATATTTTTTTAGTTATTGCCTTGTAATTTTTTGGGCACCCTAATTTTGTGTTTCCTCCAATAGTATTGATAGAGTATTTAATTCTAGAGAGAAGTGAGAGCTAGAGAGAGAAAATGAGCAATTAATATTTTTCAACCCCCTATAACTACCCCTAAGGGGCTATTTATAGGAGTAAATGTAGATTTGGGCTCTTTGCCATGGGCTTAGGAGGCCCATCACAATAATTGTGCCTCTTTTGGGTACAATAGGGCCACTAATGGACTGAGTACAAGACTTAATAGATTTAGTGTAAAAATACATTTTGCCAGGATAATCTAGGCCGATGCGGTGTCCTTGAAAATTGGGATAGTAATAAATTTAGAGAGGAGTATATTATAATTTTGCCCCCACCCTCGCATCTTGGCTCCGCCCCTGATCACCATGTATATTTATTACCAGTTTAGATACAATGGTTCCTACCCAAGTCATAATTTTATATAAATGACACCTTCCACATGCGGAAAAGTGGTCCTCAATCATCTTGTATTGTTGTTCTTCCAAATCTAATACACTTTCTCACTCTAATTTTCTGTCTAACCTCTCTCTAGATCTACTCGACCCGCGGGTGCCTATACCCATCTATGTGAATATGAACAGAGGAGGAAAACATAGGAGGTAATTGATACTTTCTTTAACCAATTCAAGCACTACTTTCTTTTCTTGAGGCTTGAACAAGTTTTAAATCAGATTCCCAACTTCGGATAACAAGTTTTACACCCAAAACCCACCCCTTCAGAGGTTGAAATCTCGAGTCCCTTAACTTGTCCTCCAGATTCCCAACATCATAAGGGACCCCCCACAGATTAAGTATGTCCCAAGATTCTCTACATATGTCTAAAAGACTTGTCACTAATTGATCGACACCTCTATGATCCAAACCAATTCTAACTTCCACATTACCAATTGATATGACATTGAACATCGATTAATCGATTTGTTGAGCTAAGCACTGAGGGCTAGAAGGTCACCAATTGAGAAAAATACATATTTTGTCTCACCATGATGACTCAAATTCAAGACCCAGCTGGACCATCTATCATGTCTCTATTATTTTTAGCAGTGTCTTGTGTGACTTTTTGGAAGCCTCCTCTATTGATTCACTTATCATCCCATTTGCATCACATTTAACAAGTAACTATCAACCCATTTAGAAAAGAATTACCAAATACTCTTCTTTTTCAGTTTCAGACAAATCCAACCGCTTAATGATCAATCAAAGCTCCATTTTTGAACGTGGAAGGTTTACTTCTATGGGAGACTTTGGATGTAAAAGGTTAACTTTAATGTGAACTATGGAAGTTTGAACAAAGTATTTTTACATCGTAATCATATGTTCATATGGTTATGGTATAGACTAAAATAAAATGCATTTGATTTAGGAGTATGATACGAGAATGGTAATGATATGGCTTACCTTAGTAAATATAGGTCCGACATTACAAACTAATAATTCTAGATTTGGGATTGAATTAGATCATAGATAGAATCAGCAACCTAAGTGAGAACAGCTGACCCAACACTTCATTAAAAATTACTCCCTCCGTCCCCCTAAGTTTGGGACAGAGGGGTGTGGTGTGGTTTTTAAGAAAAAGTGGAATTGTGTGGTTGGTATTGAATTGATAAAGTGTAAATAAAGTAAGAATGAATTCTAACCACTTAAATGTTACCAAATATGGTATGAGACAAACTTAGTGGGACGGACGAAAAAGGTAAAACGGGACAAACTTAAGGGGACGGAGGGAGTATTATTCATTCACATGGACATATTTGTGTATCAGTATGACTAAGCTTTAGTGTCCCGGCTTTTAGATGTACGGAGTGTATAATAACGATGTTTTGTGAGCATTCATCAATCAAGCTGGTTTGCCCGAGAGGTTAAGGGGGAAGACTTAAGATCTTCTGCACATAAGTGCGCGTGGGTTCGAACCCCACAGCCAGCATCTTTTTTCGTTTGCAATATACGGAGTCTTAATTAAACTTGGGCTTCCGGTAATGCATCCCGGCCCATTTTTTTCATTCGGGTAGAATCCCACGTAGACCACCGTTGACAGGGAGTGAAATCTGGCATTCTCTCTTTCCAAGTTTTTGACTCACAAACAAGAGCAACGAACCCTTCACCCACAAGCTATCAGCGTGTTTCTCGGGTTCGAGATTCGCCGCTTCAGACGCTGCTTTTAATCATTTATATATGTATTCTTTGTTTCTGAGCTGCGGAAGTTGAATGAGTGGGAAAAGCTCCAGCCTTCAGATCCAAGGATTTCAGTTTGTCCCTTTCCACCTTTAAGGTACCTCTCAAGTGTCAAATCTATCTTTTTCCTGATCTGAATGCCACTTTGTTTCCCATTTCAATGATGTTGTATTTTGCTTATTGCAGTTGAAGGGAATGCCATCATTTTTCTTTTTACTGCTTCTTTTTTTCTTTTTGCCAGTTTGCATATTGGTACTATTTTGCTTGATGCTTAGTTGAGTTTCCAAAGTTATGTAGTTTTTTCGATTGAAATTGAATGCCATAAATACCCCCAATTTGTTCGAATCCAGCGGATCACGCCGGAAGTTATGACATTTAAAGTCATTTGCACTTGTGTGAAGTGTGATGTCAGATTATACAGGGCAAGCTTAATTTAAGGCAATTGTAATTAACGGGTCACTTCTATTGTTTGTAATCTGTATGTAAAACACTTGACTTAAAGAACAGATTGTTAAAAGTTTTCTTGATCATGACGTTTTAGGCAGAAACCTATAACCCCAAAATCAATTCTGTTCTGTTCTATTCTGCTATTTCACTGCATTGGTAATTAATGTTGCTACATTAAATAGATCAGAGTTTGAGATTATGAGAATATATTATTATTGCATCTGATTTACTTGTTAATACTAGTATAAAATAACGAATTTCCATTGTGCCCTATATATATCTCCTGTAAAATCAGATGTATGCACTGTATAAAAAAGAACAAGAAAATACCATAAGTAGAACTAAAACATCCCGAGTAACATATTGACTCATGTAGAACACCATTGTTTTCTTTACCTAATGAAAATAAGACTTCTTCACTCATAAAAGAAGAAATTTTAGTTACTCCTATGATTTTATTATGACTGAAAGAGTTCTAATTTTGGGATCAAACAACAATACTTCTCTTTGTGCAAATGACTAATGTTTTCCTTCTATTTGCAGCAATTTCTTTGAAAACGTCAGAGTCCAATCGTCCATGCTTGCCTTCCTTGAAAATAATTTTTGTGCTATTAACAACTTCAAATTTCTGGGTTATTGTGAACAAATGAAAATACATAGTTTTCATGAGATGCTTTCAAGTTTTAATAATTAATGATTTATCCTCTTCTTACACAGTGCTAGGTCTTACTTGCTGATTGCAACTTAGTTAAGAACTTACAATGTCAAGAAGACCAACTACATCGCATCGTCTGGAAGATCCAGTGAGCATACCATTTGTCAGCTCACTGCATCCAAAATCACGCCTTTCTCCTTTTTTGTACATAGGACTTCCGGCTGTGGTAAGTTTTAACTGTTACTTTGTTTCACTATTACTCATGCTTCTGGTAAAATTTTGCATTTATTTGGATTTGAAGTATTTATATAATAGAAATAAATAAAAGTAAAATCAGTTTGAAAAATTACTGAAAATAAACTTATTGAGTTTGAGTCTATCTCTTACCTCCCCCCAAACTGTCTTTCCAATTTTTATTTATGTCATCCCTCCCTATTCTCCGTCCCTTGGATTTTCTGAGTTCCAAATGAAGCCATAATATTTTAGGCAACAGAGCTGAAAATGTATTTCATTTACACTTTCAGGGTGCACTGCTGATTATAGGTTTCTTATATCATGGTTCAGGTATAAACTAGTCTCTTTGTTGAATATTCTTATACTTCAAGCCTAATAATCTATCAAGCCAATGTCATTGGTTATTGTTTCTGTGGCCAAAGTATGGGTGAAGTGAAGCTGCTAAATTACTGTTTTCTTAGTTTCTTACAGAATTCCTATTTCTTACATTGATTTTGAGTTTAAAAGTCTCTACATGACAGGTGGAAGAAGTGGGCCTGAAGATTTTAATAGGCTCGAAGGTAAATTGCTATTTCTATTTCTCTACAGTCCAAGCATCTATTTCTCTCAAATCTCAATTCCAGTATCTCATGAATACAGATAAGATGGTTTAACATTTCTGCTCTTTGTCACCTGGAAGAATGTTCCAATAAGTTTTTTTAAATTTATTGGCCTTTTACATCTTAAGGGGATTTTATTGTCTCTAAACTCAAAGAAAAGTTGGTTGAAGTGTTATATGATCAGTTGATTGCATATTATATTACTCTCAACCCTCCAGAGCTAAAATAAAAATGTTAACTCAACTATTATAAATCCAAAATGTATATTAAAATAGACTAAGCCCCCCAAACCTCTCTGTCTAATCAGAGTTAGGATTGTTCTGAACTAAATATTATCTTGATTCTCGAAGACATCAATTTCAATTACATTCATACTTTGGACTGTGGTAAGCCATAACCATTTTTTTTAGTTTTTTAAATTTAATCGCTATTGCCCCTCTTTGGCTGATGTATATGCAAAAAGGGACTTTTATCGTGAATCCTGATACTTTCCAAATAAGTCACAAAGAAATGTTCCTATGATTCACAATACACATTTTTGCAGCAAATTTGGAATTTTCATGAAACCTTATTTTACCTGGTGCAGGTGGAGTTTCATGCACTTTAGAGTTTCAAAGAGCATACCCCATACTAAAAAAAGTATATGGAGAAAGCATAAAGAAAGTACTGCATGTGGGCCCCGACACATGTACAGTGGTGTCAAAATTATTGAAAGAGGAGGGTACTGAAGCATGGGGCATTGAACCGTATGACTTGGAAGACACTGATTCCAATTGCAAGAGTCTAGTCAGCAAAGGCATTGTACGTGCTGCTGACATCAAATTTCCGCTCCCTTATCGTGCCAAGTCATTCCCCCTAGTCATTGTCTCAGATGCTGTAGATTACTTCTCTCCAAAATATATTAATAAGACCCTTCTTGAGTTGGCTAGGGTGGCTGCTGATGGTTTAGTTGTCTTGTCTGGTAAGGTCTACATTTAAAAAAGCAATAAATTGTTTCTTTATGCTTTTTCAAAAATATTATTGAAAGTTAAACTTATTTACAAAAATATGACTAAAGTTAGTATGGGTATAGTGTCATGGCAATTTGAGTGTAAAAATTGAACACAAGTAACTTTGAGTAAATATGTAATTATTGTTTTTTTTCTATAGTCACTACATTTAAGAGGTCACATTTTTGTAAGCAACCTTTATTTTAGTCATAAATATGTAATTATTGTTTTTTTTTTCTATTTTCCAAAACAACATAAACAATGCATACTGATGGTAGTGTTTTTTTTAGTTCCTTAAAACAAAAAACATGAGTGCTATTGGAAACATAAAAGTTTTCTTGTTTGATAGTAGTGTTTGTATAAATAGTTCTTCTTCCCCACAAAGATAGTTCACTATCTTATCACCTGAAATATGAAATGGATGTAAAGTTACTTATAAATAATAATTTATCTGCAATTCCCATTTCACTCTTAAAAGTTAGCATCTTCCTATGCAGGAGTAGTTTTTAATTCGATGCATTGTAAAGGAAGTATTTAGTTTCCAGGTTGGTGATTAAGTAGGACTGTAGGAGCAAACCTAGAAATGATAATTAAATGAATACCCAGCTGTGAAACTGAACTATTTTTTGTGGGATTAAATTGAGTGTTTGGATCTGCTTCTTAAAACGACTTCTACTCCTTCGAGGAGCAAAAGAAGATAGGGAAAATGGAAACTAATAATCCAACCTTTTAGCGGTCTTCTTACAATAATCCAACCTTTTGGTTATTCATGAATAATCCAACCTTTGCACCTCATCTTCATTCACTGGTCCCTGACCGGTTGATGACCTGCTATTCCAAGCTATTTTCTTATCTTTGCAAATCATTATACCATAAATCTCATCTTTCACAAAGATAATATTTTGCAAAGATAAGAAAATAACTTGGAATAGTAGGTCATTAACCGACCATGGACCAATGAATGAAGATGAGGTGCAAAGGTTGGATTATTCATGAATAATCAAAAGGTGGGATTATTGAAAGAAGACCGCTAAAAGGTTGGATTATTAGTTTCCATTTTCCCAAGAAGATATTGGATTGTTTGGGCGAAAGTGCAGAAGTACTTTTGGGTGCTCCAATTTACTCCTACAAGCAGTTTTTTAGAAAAAAAAAGCAGAAGCAGAATTAGTTCCAAACACCCCCATATATATAAATAAATCTTATTTAGAGAAAGGACCTGCCCAACATCTTTTATTCATCAGAAATAAAAACAAAATTTCAGTCTCTGTGGCTAATAAGAATGAAACGACTACTTGTGATATTTCATTCTGATTGTCTTCATATATAACCAACACCTTTTGCATTGAAATGCTTAGGAAGTCCAGGTCAGCGAAAAACGAAAGTAGCAGAGATGTCAAAATTTGGACGACCCGTAAGTCACCAATCATTTTTCCAGTATTTTTTTTTAATCCAGAAGAATGATCTAAAATTTGTTTCTAATTGCTCATGAAGTTAATTTGAATGTCATTTTCTTCCCAAGGCCAAATTCCGGAGCTCTTCATGGTGGATAAGGTTCTTTGTACAGGCCAATCTAGAAGAGAATGAAGCTGCAACTAAGAAGTTTGAGCAAGCAGGGGCAAAACTGTCGTATGTACCAGCATGCCAAGTATTCCACCTTAAACCATTACATTGATACTGTCAGTGTGCCCTATGAATTACACAAATGTGTCTACTGATCAAGTGCCAACGGAATTCTTAGCCGATCCACCCCCATTGGCCATTGTAATGGTATCCTGCAAGGTTAACTAGCTTTTTTTGGGTGCTATTTCTTCCCATATTTTTGCATTACATGCTCCTTCAGTATGCTTAGACAATACGTTGTATTTGATAAACCGTAAGATAATTTATGATACTCTTTGTATGTTGTATAACATTGGCCTCAAGTTATGTACTTCAATTTATGTTCATCATTACCTGAAAAACTTTACTCCTGCATTCAGGGGCGGAACCAGACTTTAATATAAGGGGGGCCAGAATATGATATGCGTATTAAAATATACTCCTTAAAAAACATAAATAGCATAGTAACATAATAGCCCGTTTAGCAACAATAAAATTGGTTGAATATGCTGCAATTGATGCAATTTTGAATGAAGTTGCGGAATAGGCTGAATTATGAAAAATTATATTAAAATATGTGAGTAGTTTATTAATAAATTAATGAAAAATTATATGAAAAATAGTTAAAACTGTCATCTTCATATCTACACAACTGTCTATAACCAAGTATTCCAGCCCAGCTGGTTGTGAGGTTACCGTGCCTAGTGGAAGGTCTCGAGTTCGAATCCCGCTAGGCACACAAGGGTGTGAAACTCAATGGAGTAGATTTCAGCTCTGATTACTCCAGGCTCCCCCCAACCCCCCTCCCCCAGACCCCCCTGGAGTAAATAGAAAAAAGACTGTCTATAACTACATGAAAAATTAATATAAATGGACACTAACAAACGAGTTCAAAATGATATGACATTCAATTATAATATTAAAAAGTACAATGTCATGGTCATACAATCTAATGTCATATAAATAGTTATTCACTAAAACTTTATATCACGTTATTACTAGTATTCCACCAGTGCGTTGTATGAAGTGTAACACACGCACACGTACAAACGCGCGCAAACACTCGAGTGTGCACGCGCACGCGCGCACAAACACAAGTGCGCACGCACATGTGTTTAAAACATGTAGTTCTATTCGTGGTCTTTGATCATTTTTTAACATATTTAGGTAATTCACTCTATAATTATTTAGGTGTATTACATATATACTCTTTCCATTCATTTAGATATAACTTTTATTACTTAATATATGTCATGTGCAAAGTGTGCATGCAGGGGTGAGAATCTAGTTAGGCCTGATATGGAGAATTTTCCTTATGAGCCGTACTGCATGCTCAATAAGGAGCACACAACGTGCTTTCTAAAATTTTTGATCACTATCTATCATTAACTTGGTTTGATAAATTTTTGTTTCAATTTTTATTACTGAAATCAACGATTTACATAAATAGTTTCCAATTTTGTGCATATTTCTTACAAGAGCTCTAATATATTTAGCATAGAAATTATTAATCTTGTACCTAAAACTTAGATCAATTCAAGTCTCATTAGGACCCGAAAGACAAATTTGTCGATATAGAATCCAAATTATTCAAAACTGTTAATCTAAAATCTAACATACATATCCTGAATTTATATGTAATTTTATATAAAAGTTATCCTTATTTGGCGTACTAATCCTTATTTTTTTGTTTAACTTAGTGTGATGTCTCCATATAATTGAGTTGTTTGAATCCCTCTCAAGAAAAAAAGACGTGATACACATACTCCCTCCGTTTCTAAAAGAACCTCACACTTTCCTTTTTTGGATGTGCCAAAATAAAAGTCACACTTCCCTTATTTCCTTATTTGGCAAAGAAATCTACATCCAAACAGTGTCCAAACAGTGCCAAACAGTGTCTAAACAGTGTTTTCTACAGTAAAGTGAATTTATTTCCTTAATAATCGTGAAGTCAAACCGTGACTTTCTTTTAGAAACGGAGGGAGTATATTGTTTGTTGACACATGGAAATAAGGATTGTTATTATTATTGTTGTTCTTGTTATTATTATTAGTGTTATTATCATTATTGTTATTACTATTATAATTAGACGGAAGGTTTATAATAAAATGTATAGCAAGTGAAATGGCTTGCACAGTAAAAATTATTTGGTCTTTTTGTTAAGTTGGATCTAGATCTTTTCAAGTGATCAATGTCTTAAATATAGATTGATATACACATCAACTTTTAGATCGATGATGATATATTGAACATTTTGTCGATTTGACGATTAAAAATTACCAAAGGACTAAATTGATAAGACGTAGAAATGTATTAGTTTAGAAATCAAAACGATACGACAATAATAGTTTAAGGAGCATTTGTATATGATTTTCCTATACTTCTCTCCTCGGTAGAAAGAAAGAAAAATGAAGAGATGGATACTCATAGAAGAAGAGATCAGATATGCAAATGGAAGGAGAGAGAACGTTTTTTTATTACTAGTACTAGTATAGAACAAAAGAGAAAGAGCAAAAATAGGGTACACCAGATCAAATTAGATCAGACTTTTGTAGTTATAAAATATACAGAGATCAGACCAAATTTGACCAGATCAGACAGACCAACAAATTTCAATTCAAAAGAAAACATCCTTACTCCTTACCATATTAATAAAAGGCTATTTAGCTACAATCGATTGACACCAAAAATAGTCGATAGGCAGTTGTTATACCGTATGACCGGTATACGGTGAGCACCGTATACCGTCATACGGTTTTTGGCAAGCAACGTATTTGGCAAGATCGAATCTTTATTTTTTATTTCTCTTTTTTTTTTAAAAAAATGGTAATAACTTTTTTTATTTTTGATCCGATTTTTATAAAATTTATACCAACATTTTTTAGTTTTCATGATCTTTCAAATGAGACCAATATTGCCTATGTAATTTTAACATATTATCGAACTATTATATTAACCTATGTAAAATATGTAATTTTACGTGTAGAAATATGTAACTCACGTCCAGTCAGGCCAAATGCAACTCGTGTGTATAAATATGTTACTCTACGTGTAAAAATATGTAACTGTACTTAAAAAAATATGTAACTCGCGTTCAGACAGGTCAAATGCAACTCGTGTGTATAAATATGTAACTCGCGTGTATAAATATGTAAAATTACGTGTAAAAATATGTAACTTTACGTGTAAATATATGTAACTCGCGTTCAGGCAAGTCAAATGCAACTCGTGTGTATATATATGTAACTCGCGTGTAGAAATATGTAACTTTACATGTAAAAATATGTAACTTCACATATAAAAATATGTAACTCACATGTATAAATACCTAATACAATAAATTTTTTATATACACAATTTTAAGATAAATTGTGATTTACACAATTATTTTTCTGTATTAAATTTAGTTTGGTTTTCCTTATAATCCAATACACATTAATATAATAGTTCAATAATTTCTTAAAATTACCTAAGCAATATTGGTCTCATTTGAAAGATCATGAAAAATAAAAAATGTTGATATAAATTTTATAAAAATCGGATCAAAAATAAAAAAAGTTATTACCATTTTTTAAAAATAAAAGGATAAAAAATAAAGAAACCAGGCCTCAATACTCCATCGTTTTGCAACCGGACACACCATCCTCATGATGTGCCGGTTGCACGATATAATTTGCGGTCGATAGGAGGTAAATGTCCGATTTTTTCCCGATATTTAGAAGATCCATTAAAGTTCAAATTGTTACCATCCATTTTTCCAATTTTAAAAGCAAAGTTGAGCGGAGATTAGGGCTTTTCTAATTGTGTTTAATGACGGCTTTTATAAGTGCCCACATCACAACTGACCTAATAAAGGGACAAATTAGTAATTTAAATTCGGATCGTTATACTAAAACAACAATAATAATTTCATTTTGACTGGAATTAAATATCTACTACTACTTAGCTTTTAATACCAGTACTAATTATTGATGTAAAAGTTAAATAAAATAATCCCCATCCTTTAATCTATATATCTAATCCCATACTCAACGTATATGGGAATGGGATGTTATTATCAATATCGTTTTGTTTTCTGCCGTAGTGTGAGGATGTAGGTCAATATAATTGTTCTCATAGTTATTGCATACTCCGTATATAAAAATTTATAAGTTAATTATTACAAATATAATAATGAAAATTATTATCCAAAGTTTGTCATTCTTGAACAACAAAAGTCAATAAAGCAAACCTTTCAGAACATAGGTAGTATGATTTTCAGAAAATCAACATCATGCATCTAAATTTGAAATAAGTAAAATTTGATGCGTAACTACGGGGCAAAATTTATCAAAGCTATATACGAAGTAGGGGTGTAAGGATGTTTTTACTTGGACTGTAATTTGTTGGTCTGGTCTGGTCTGGTCTGAACTGGTCTGGTCTGATCTGGTAATATCTGGTTTCTTTGTATTTTTATAACTATCCAAGTTTGGTATGTTCTTGTCTGGTCTGGTCTTGGACAAATTACGGTCCAAGTAAAGACATCCTAAATGAGCCAAGCCACTCACGAGCTGCTCGTGGATCGCTCGGGAAGAGCTCAACTTGAGTTCAATCATATTAAATTCGACTCGAATAGTTTTTTTTATCATCATTCGACTCGAATCGTTAACAAGCATGTTTATTTTAGGTCCGTAGCTCGCGAGCCGTTTCACGAGCTTTTGTGTCATATTTTATATATAATAATTATATATGTAAAGATTACACACACACACACACACACACACACACACACACACATATATATATATATATATATATATATATATATATATAGAATTAGGTTCAAGTGAGAAAATGATCTTAGGAGAGAAATGAGAATGAATCTGGACCGTTAGATTGTAATCTGTGAAATTGAATGTGCATTTAGTGAAACTGAAATGTGCATTACGTGAAATCAAAATGTGCAGCATAAAAGGTAAGGTGAAATGTGCACTAGGTGAAACTGAAATGTGCAGAATAAAACTATGATGTAGTGGCATTTTTTTTAGCCTTTTATTCTGCACATTTCAATTTCACGTAATGCACATTTGAGTTGTACTTTTCATTCTGCACATTTCAATTTCACTTCATGCACATTTCAGTTTTACCAAATGCACAGTTCAATTTCACATCATACAATCCAACGGTCCAGATTCATTCTCATTTCTCTCCTGGGAGTCCTTTCTCACTGGAACTCTCCCCTATATATATATATATATATATATATATATATATATATACTACGTACTTTTTTTGGAATATGTATTTTGATATAGGATTATTGCATTTTCAATATTTGTCAAGAAGTGCTTCGTATATTATAATAGTAATAATTGCAAAAATAATAACATGTACTACGTACGTAG